AATAATGTCTTAAAATGCTAATACGGCTCTCTTATTACTTAAAGTTCCTGAGTAGTCACTTCAGCCATATCGAATCCTGACGTCATAAGCGAGAAATGACACGTTGATTTTTCTTACGTTATACTATTTGTAAACAAAGAGAATTTGGATGAAAATGAGATCGCTTTAAAACATTTGTAAAAATGGACCAAGACTCTCCTTATCTCCCCTGATAGTCGGTAAAGAGTTGAAAAAGGCTCGTGAAGTGAAAATAGGTTATGCATGCACATTGAGTAAAAACTAGTAAACGCACTTTACGTGCCTTTTACGATTATTTACAGTATTTACTGATTGTCAAGGGAGATAGGAATAGTTTTCGTCCATTTTCCACAAGTATTTTAAAGCGATCTCGTCATTTTATTTCATCCAAATTCTCTTTATTTACAAATGGCATACAAGAAAAATCAACGTGTCGCTTATGACACAGTTCTCGCTTATGACGTCACGATTCAATATGGCTGAAGTGCTTTAGGGAGTGCTAATAGGGAGTTTTTGCAATAACGCTAAAGTCACGTTATCCTTTTCGTAATTAGTTGTTAAAAAGAAAATAACCTGACCTTAGCATTTTGAATTTGTTGATTCTTATATTTAATACTGTCTCAAGTATACAGTCTTAAGGAAATTGCAAAGACAAAATACATATATTAATATTTACGCTTTAAACAAACTACATACATGTGAAAGTTGTGTTCATAATATTCTGTTTTTATTGAGCATCGCATTTTTATAGATCATTTATTTTATTTGATATTAGTTTTATTATTATAAACAAAAATTTAAATTTTTTTGTATAAATATTTCAAGTATTAAAAATGACTTGTGCAAAGTTTCGTGGAGCTTCACCAATTAGAGTTTGTAACAAATAAATATTTTTGAATTCATAAAGTACTTGTATAAAAAAAATTATTTTTATCATTATTTTTACAATACATTTTCATATATTTCTATTAGAGTACAAATTAAAAAAATATTACTTTTTATTGAAATAACTTTTGATCCAAATGCTCAACTGTCGTCTCTAATTTTTTTGTATTACTTTTAAATACTATTTAGAATAATCTGTAATTTTTTTCCAAGTAATTCTTAACATATTGCATTTGCCTTACAACCTCCTTAAGGTGTCACGAATCAACCAAAGGGCCGCATAAGTATTAACATCTTAAAAGCTAATATTACATCCATCCGTTTTTTGTCGTACAACAAATATAATACCAGACCAAGACATTACCTAAGATCTTCTTCTTGAAATAAGAGCGGACTTAAAATCTCTTTGTAGACGCCACTTTAAGTACAAAGAGCGTACACCTATTTTTTTTAACTGAACTTTTTTGCATCGATGCGATGGAGAGAAAAAGAGAAAAGATGAACCGTACAAGAAGTTCAACTAAAGAGAACAGACCTTGGTTGAGTTATAAAAAATAGATCCAATATTAGTCCGACAATTGTTGTCACAGGTTGAATCATGGCGCGTACCAAGCAAACGGCCCGTAAGTCAACAGGAGGAAAAGCTCCCCGTAAGCAGCTCGCGACAAAGGCAGCCAGGAAGAGCGCTCCGTCCACCGGTGGCGTGAAGAAGCCGCATCGTTACAGGTATGAAAAAAAATAATAATAAAAGACGCGTCTCAAAACGTTGAAATGACGCTCGGATCTCAGTGACTTTAAACTTGGATTTGTCTTGACTAATAGTACTTCTGTAATTTCCCGATGATAGGCCCGGTACCGTGGCTCTTCGAGAAATTCGAAGATACCAGAAGTCAACTGAGCTGCTGATCAGGAAACTGCCGTTCCAGCGGCTGGTTCGTGAAATTGCGCAGGATTTCAAGACCGATCTGCGTTTCCAAAGCGCCGCCATCGGCGCCCTCCAGGAAGCGTCTGAGGCGTACCTCGTTGGTCTCTTCGAGGACACTAATCTGTGCGCGATCCACGCAAAGCGCGTCACGATCATGCCTAAAGACATCCAGCTGGCCCGGCGAATCCGTGGCGAGCGTGCTTAAGAGACGCTATGTAACTCGCATACATACCGTTCATTACGACCATTATTATTACTATTATTATTATTAATTATTATTATTAATTATCGTTCGCAATCGTCATGGATGAAGCACTTTCATTCCAAGCTCTATTATATTGTTTTAGTTTTGCATAGAGATACGCGCAGTAATAGTATCCCTCCAGTGATCATCTTTATTTTCAACTTTTATCGAAATTCAATTTAACGCTAGCTGGCTAATTTACTGAAAGGGTAGTAGTGACTGTGTTCAAATTAGCAAAGCAGCTAGGCAAAGCTTGTTCGCCAAACGGACATGATTGGTAGATTTAATCAATCACATTCATTTCGACGAGCAGACCGAATGTTGCTTCGTCCGGCTTGAACATGGCCAGTGATGAATTATTTGTTTTGAATGTTAAAAGCACTCTTGTTCAGTGCTTTTAACATTCAAAATAAATAATTAATCATCACGTTTCGGTATTAAATTTCTATAAGAGAAGTTTCTGTAAGACACGAATTTCAATTGTTGGCTTCGCAATACGCAAATTAGAGAGCCACTTTTATTTTCTCTTTTCCCCATTTTCTTCGGAACACGAAACACTTGACACAGCTTTTTGGTTTACGCTTACTAGGATATTCACGAATTTATGCAATTAATTTACACTCCGACAATTTTGTTAAATAATTTTGATTAGACACCATTCACATTAACGTTCCTTTTTCCCGCGTTATTTACCGTCTTCTTTTCGTCATTAATGTTACACATAACAAATCATATTATTATTAGTATTTAAAGAAAAAAAAAGTGTGCATTAGATTAAGACATCCTCATAGGGACATCCCGATATAGTGCTTAACGTATTAGATCTCTGATTGTACTCGAATTACATTAAACCATTTTGATCACTTAAGCATTGTGTAAAAATTTGTGTAAAAATAAACGCATTTCGTAAATAAATCTAAATCCGCACGACTTTTATCTTCGCTTTGTCTGATTTCCGCCCATCAAGCCGCCTGTAAAACAGTACGATTTATACAAACAAACACATGTGCGTCGATGAATTTTAATTAGGATATTTATTGAATGAAATTCACATTTTCAATAATACAATAATACAATTTGATTATGATTTTCTATTCAGGGTAACAATTTTTTTTTGTTGCCAATAATTCTTTTTTTTCGTGATGCACAGTTTAAAGAACTAAACTTTAGATATAAACACGGCGCAATTGCATTTTGCTAGCCTTTGTTACAATAGACGTGTGTATACATATCTAATTATTGGAATCTATCTAATCGTTGATCGCAAAAAAAGATAATTTTCAAATTATGGAATTTTATTTTTACGGAATATTAAAAAAATAGAAGAATTATATCTAAAAATAATAACGTTTAAAGCACTAAAAAGTACACATTTTTACAAGATATCTGCTAATTTTATAGACAACGGTAAATACAAATTATACTATACCCTACGCGTTATTAAGTTTATAAATTGTTTATCATTTATGTAATTATCTACAAACGTCACAAATATTACGTTTTTAATAAATAATGATTTTTCCAAGATCCACTATCACTTAATATTTAAAACAAAATTTAAGACAAAGTACTTGAGGCAATAATACGACAAGTCACGAGGACAATTTAAAGGAATTCCACAAATCGTACGAGAGTAAGCTGTTATTTTATTATACAATATCTACGCTCTTTAATATCATTCCTGACGTAATTGCAAGATTCCTTTTGTCGAGACTATCGATTTACTATTTCGATTAACCTGTTACAGAAACATGTTTTTGTGACTCTGGAACAGATGGATATATTTGAAAAGTACTAAATTTTTTTTAATTGTTAAATTTATTTTCTCTGAAAATTGCAATATTTAAACTTTATACAAATATAGTATACAATAATTAGCCTATATGATTAGAACAAAATTGTGAAAAATGAGATTGTGAAACATAAAATTATTTAAAATCATTATACTATTTGAAAATTAGAAAAATGTTCCAGGATCATCCGGACCCAAATATTCTAGTTACGTTAAAGAGCACAAGCTGAGATTTTTGCGTGGCTTAATATCCTATTGCCTCAAGCCTCGTATGCATATATTTACAAATTTTCTTCTTTTATACGACTTTTACAGTGTCGAGAAAGGAAACTACAAAACGTCGCAGCGCGATTGAGGAGAGAAAAGGAGTACCTGATTCAGATATTGTTATAAATACTCAGATATTACAAGTAACGATACTTTGTTACTTTTATTTCGTTACCTTCTGTTATATTTACATGACAATTGATCATCGGTTATATGTTGCCACGCGCGTAGCGATCATATATATTCTATCAATTTAGTGTAATAGGCTTGAACGTTAGCATATACTACATAGAGAGGTTGACTCTTCAATTTCTGAACAACTTGTCGTTGTAATAACTGAAAATACATTGGACTTTTTCAATACATTTTCAGTTGTTACTGCAACAAGTTTATAAATACAGTAAATGCAAAATGTATTCATACATTTAAAAAGAAAGATTTAAAAAGCCTTATTTGTAGAAAAAAAACATTAATTAGCATTTTATTAACAATGACTATATTCTCTTCTAAAATAAATGAAAGAGCTTTGCGAAAATAATCATGTTCATGATTTTAAGAAGCTAAATGTTTTCGGCTGTACGAATACCTTTGGGCCAAATAATAAAATTTTTTATTTATTATTATATAATTTATATATAATTACTTAT